TGATCTATTGAATGTCTAGCATCCAATTTGAATGATCTATTGAATGTTTATTCAAATCGTAATGATGGGGAGAAGTAGTGATTAGTTCTAGGCAAAGGCAGGTCCAGCTATTTCGAAAGTAGGGAGCTAAATGTACAAAAAATGGCAGTTTTTGAGAGAACTAAGTATCCGATTCAAAAAACTTTCTTATGTTGACGAAACAATTGCTTTTGTAAAAACTATTTTTTTTTCAAAACATTTTTTTTTTGTATATCGAAAATAAATCAGATTTTAATTTTAATTCTAGCTGAAGTTTTAAAGCTCACTTATCTACTTTAAATGAATAATTTTTACTTTGCAATTCAACAATTCAATTTATATATTTCTTATAAATATTAGACAATGTTACAGTCTTCATTTACAATAATCTATTTGAAAACATTTAATATTCCTCGAACCCTTTGTTACGGTACGGGATGTTCCCGCAATTTGCCAAAGCACGATGCCATACACCACTAGTTAACTTCCCGTAGAGTAAGTTATTGTAATGGGCCGAAAATCGAAATTGAAAATTTTTACATTTTATTTTTACATCGACGTTTTGAAGGTTTTTGAACATTTTGGCATACCTCAGAAAAAATTGATGTGTGTGTGTGTGTATGTATGTATGGATACAAATATCCATTCACGTTTTCGGGCGCACGGATCAACCGATTTGAATGGTTCAAAAAACATTCGACTCCTATTGATAGGGAGATGTGTTGATATGTTTTTGGAAAAGGCAGGTCAAGCAGTTACGGAGATACAGAGCAAGAGTGTAGAAAATAGAAATCGAGATTTTGAGAGAACGGAGCGTCCAATTTGAATGATCTAAAAAACATTCAATTCGTAATGATGGGACGAAGTAGTGATTAGTTCTTGACAAAGGCAGGTCCAGCCGTTTTGAAGATACGGTGCTAAATGTACAAAAAATGGCAGTTTTTGAGAGAACTAAGCATCTGATTTGAATGATTCAAATAACTTTCTGCTTGTGTTGACGAGATGTCAATTTTTTTTATTTTTCGAAAAAACATTTTTTTTTTTTTGATAATCGAAAATAATTCAGATTTCAATTTTAATTCTGGTTAAAGTTCTAAAGCTCACTTATATATTTTAAGTGAATAATTTTAACTTTGTAATTCAGTTTATATATTCTTACAAATATTAAACGATATTACAGAGTTTATATTAATCTATATGAAAACATTTAATATTCCTTGATCATTTTGTTACGGT